GGGTTCTTACAGCGACCTGAAGGGTTATGAGCTTCAATAAAAGAAGGTCTAGTTTGAAGAATAGTCTATATGGGTTGAAATAAGCACCTCGATAGTGGTACAAGAAATTTGAATCCTTCATGATTGAGCACAAATTCATGAAGACAAAGGCCGACCACTGCGTATTTGTTAAGAGGTATGAGGCCACATATTTTTTAATTATGCTTTTGTATATTGACGACATGCTTATTGTAGGGCAAGACAAGTCAAGGATAGTCGCCCTGAAGAAGGCGTTGATCTCATCCAATGCAATGAAGGACCTCGGTCGTGCATAGCAAATACTTGGATTCAAAATTATTAGAAATTGACAAAGAAAGCTACTATGGCTGAGTCAAGGAAAATACATTGAAAAGATTTTGAAGGGATTTAGCACGTAAAAAGGCAAGACAATTAGCACCCCCTTAGTCGCACACATAAAACTAAGCCAAAAGTAATGTCCGATGTCTGGTGAAGAGAAAGATGAGATGATGAAGACCAGTTCGTCATTGGAAACTTGATATATGTTATGTTATGTAAGAGACTCGGCTTGGTGTATGCTATTAGAATGGTGAGCCGGTATCTGTCAAACCCTGACAAAGAGCATTGGGAAGCCGTCAAGTGGATCTTTAAGTATCTCAAAGGAACGACAATTTTATGCCTTCATTTTGGAGAAGGTAAGGCCGAGCTACAAAGCTTTATAGATGCTGACTTATGGGGAGATACCGACTCTAGGAAATCGACCATAGGATATTTGATGAATTTTGCATGAGAAGTTATCTCAAGGCAATCAAAATTACAGAAATGTGTGGCACTTACGACAACCGAAGCCGAGTACATAGCCGCAATTGAGGCTTGTAAAGAGATGATTTGGATGAAGAAGTTTCTTTTATAACTCAGCCATAATCAAGACAAGTACGAGCTAAAGTGTGACAACCAAAACATTATTCATCTAGTGAAGAACTCAACCTATCACTCTTGTAGTAAACACATTGATGTGAGGTATCATTGGATCCGAGATGTGGAGGAGGATGGATAGCTCGTACTCGTCAAAGTGCACACCGATCTCAAGGTCCGATATGATAACCAAGCCGGTACTAGCAAGAAAACTTGAAGACTGTTGCGAGGGTGCTAGCTATTGCTAAACCCGACATATTAAAGTCGAAAAGGAAAGATTTGTTGGGGTAGTTCTTCTATTAATGCTGACATGCACCTCATTTATTGGTACATGGCTCAATGTCTGCCCAACCACCATAATGATTGAAGAAGATTCTGGAAGAAGGCAGATGGTTCTCCTCACCTTATATATACACTTGAAGACCATTGTAATTTAGGTTAGAGATTTTGAAGCTTAGAGCTTAGAATTTGAGAGTATCTCTAGAGAGAAGTTTGAGTGTGGCCTCTTTAGAGACATTTGAGATTACCACCATACTTGGTGAAGCTTGATTGTAATTATAGTGTAATTAGGGAAGCTTGACTTTTTGTAATCTTTCTTTCCTACATAGTGAAAGATTTTCTGGACTAGTGTCCCGTGATTTTTACTTCTTCACACTGAAGAAGGTTTTTCACGTTAAAATTGGACTGTCTCTCTCTCTCTCTCTCTCTCTCTTTCTACATTTTTCTATTTTTATGTGTTGGCAGACTTGGTGACTTTAAGCCGACCTCTGAGTTCCGAGCTCGACGTGCCGACTTGCGATTCGCTTCCGCTTTGATTTGAGGGACCGATGTCCCAACATAGAAATGCCAAAGGCACTGAATTTGGTTCAAATGTTGACAGCACATTTGTAAGCCTATCCATAACTAAAATGATCTGGAGTTTATTTTGATCACATGAGAATGTATAATCATATAAAAATGTCATTAGTTCTGTCGAAGGATGAATAATGTTTAATTATTTATTATTAATAAAATGAGGGATAGCGATGATCGAACTAAAAACTTAGTCAGAGAAACTCGTATATAATATAAAGAATCATTTCAATTCAAAAGTTTATGCGCTTAAATAAAGACATATTAATAATTCTATTTATATTATATTTATTTAATAAAAAGCATGAAAATAGAAATTAATTGTCCTAAATTATTTAATTTGAATATGAATTAATTAAGAAAAATTAGTAGAATAGATTATGGAATGGTAATGAGAAAATTTATCCATTAACGTGATGATTTTAGCTTAAATTCCACTTCAATATAGCTTTATTTTTTATTTTATTTTTTGAGAAACCACATGTATCCTTCATGGGAGGCAATTCTGTTCGAGCCGGAAACATCCATATTGTGGTGGTGCTAACTCTCTCAAAGGGAATTTTCTGCATTTCCAATAACTTGAGCCCAAGACCTTACTTAAGCGGAATAAAGTATATACCACTTGAACCAACCCTCTTTCATTCGTTAAATCATTAATTTGTTAGCAATAATACTAAATATCATATAACAAGATCTATTGCATATGTATATTCTCCAAAATTAATTACAAGTAAAAGCAATTTTATCTTGAATTTCAATCCACTTAGAACAAAAGGATTGATTGAAAATATTTCAGGAAAGGAAAGAAACTTGAGTATGGTTCAATGCTGAGCCCAAAAGCAACCAATAGCAAGCAAAGCAAGGAAGAAAACTTAATTAAAACAAGCCAAATGAGGGAAACGTGTTCATTTCATTCCAATATAATTTTACTATTGACAACCTCTTTTTATAAGAGCATTTACCATAAGGAAATTTAAGCATTGACATCTTACACTTTTGAAGATTCGCACCTTGTTGAATGGTAATGGTTGAAAGGTGACTAAAGCAGGAAGTATACGATAAACCATTTGCAGTTTGGACATGAAGCACACAAATCATAACAGTTTCCCCCATTAATTCCCATATATACTTTTTGGCAATATCTCATTTTGGGCATGACACACACCTTTTTCTTGAAGTGTGAATACCTTATTGGCATTCAATTGCACTATAAATTTTAAGCTTTTTGTTTGGTAAAAAGGCATGCTGCTTGTTCTCTTGACAAGGATGTATAGAATTAATATTACCAAAAAAATAGAGGAATAAAAGATACATAATTGTTGAAATATCATGATTTTTTTAATATACAATTTATTTTTCTCTAGTAACATTTTTTCATACTTTTTAAGTGTGTAACTAAGGATGTGTATGAAAACTATTTTGTTTCCTTATACTGTTTCTGAAAAAAAATATTTTTATTTTTATTTTTTTGCCTTGAAATAGTTTCTAGAAAAAAAATGTGTTTGATAACATGTTCTATTTTATTCCAAGAATGAGAATTGTGTTTGATAACACAACAAATAATAGAATAAAAAATTATTCCTATTAAATATAAAAAAATTTCGAATCATCACTTTCCTTTTCATATGATGTGGTGGTGGCAGTTGTGGCATAGTAGTGGTGGCGGCGGCGACGACAGTGGCTGCGAGGATGATAGTGGTGGCGTGGTTATAGTAGTGGTGGTGGTGGTGACGATAATGGTGATGACATGGTGGTAGTGGTGACGACAACAATGATGGTAATGGTGGTGAGGGTGGGGGTAGTGGTGGCGTAGTGATGATGGTGTGGTGGTGGCGAAAGCAGTGATTGCGACGATGATGGTGGTGGTGACGATAGTGATTGCGACGATGGTGGTACGATGACAACAACGACGATGATGGGATGATGGTAATGGTGGAGAGTGATTGAGAAAGACAAGTATTTCTCATTTTGTGTCCGGAAACAAAAAAAATTAATTTTTTTATTCTTTTTTGTGTTTTCCAACACAGAAATTGAAATGGTTTATTCTTGGGAACAAAAAGAATAAACCAATTTTGTTAAACACTCATTTCTATCAATTTCTGTTCCTGAGAACAAAAATTAAAAAAAAATAATTCTAAAAAGATTATCATACACTCCCTAAAGTGCTGTCGATGAGCTTTGAATTGAACTATGAAAATTAGCTCATGACTTTTTTATATGGGAAAAAGAAATATCTTTTTAAAGGATACAAGTTTGTGTCCTTTTAGGTGATTTACACAAAGTATGACCAGTCATACTTTGTATAAATTTGAAAAGTTATTTTTTTTTCTCTCTAGTCACATCACTGACGTGTAAAGTAAAAAAAAAATAACTTTTCAGATTTACACAAAATATAACCGGTCAGACTTTGTGTACGTCACCAAAAAAACACAACTTACATACTTTAGAAGGACACACGCTAAACCCTTTTTATATACCATCGGTGTTCTGATTTCTTTTGTATCGTATCAATGGTTGAAGAAATATTTGGGTATACAATAAGTTTTGCACGGATATCATTTTCTTAAAATTTGATTGAAACCAGGAAAAAAGACAAAATAGATTTCAAAATATTTGAAATATAAGATGATTTTTCAGTTTTTAAACATTTCAATTTTTTTATAGTAATGATATCTAAAATGTTTGGAAAATTGTTTTTCTTCTTATTCTTCTTTTATCTTTTTTTTTTTCTATTTCATGGCAAAAACCACCCACCATGGGTGGGTTAAAAATATAAGCCACAAGAAGGTTTTTAAAATTTTCTTCAAAATTAAAGATATGTAAGTAAATTACAATCTAACCCCAGATATATAATAAATCTAAGATAAAAAAATCCGCCAGATACGTATTCAGATTAATTTATTTTAAAATCAAAAAGTTTTTTTTAAACAAATAATAATTTTCTTAAAAACAACTATATATTACCAAACATGCACCTAATATAAATGTTTCGAGGGCATTAAAGGCATACAAATATAAAGTAATAGTTTGGTGTGATTGGCTGAGATGTAACTAATTCAGGTGCACTGTGTAAATGCAATGCAGTGCGGTCCCATGAAAGTTAATGGGCATAGGGAGCGCATTTTCTAGACCCTCTAGGCCTTCACCAAATAAGGATCGCATTTTCTTTTAGTATAGATCCTGTATTGGGACAATAATGTTTGCTTCTCACAAAATTGTTCCGGATGAAAGTTTATTATCGGTTGACACTGATATAAAAAAAAAATTCTTTATTGTATAATGAATTAAAAAAGAAGCAAATACTCCCTCTATAAAAGTGGTTCTAAGGTAAAGGTGCTCAGTGCAATAGACACATCTAGCTCTCATATTATCTCCTTAATTAAGGAATATTTGAGCTTTAGCTAGAAAGACAACTATTCTAACTAGCTGCATCAAGCTAGCTACTCAACCAGCATTGCAAGATGAAGAAGATCAGTGTGGAAGTAAAACCTGGAGAGGCTGATGAGATGAAATGGGTTCATGATTCTTCAGTGGATCACAAAGGCAGGGTTCCACTCAGAGCTTCAACTGGTTCTTGGAAAGCTTCTCTCTTCATTATTGGTAAGGATTATTTGCATGTTGCTTCAACCTTAAATTATTGCATTCAATACTAGAAGGACAACTTTTGTTGTGTGTCTGTTTTCTTTATGCTCCTTTTTGTTCTCAATTAAGTGCTGGAAATTAGCCTTTTCCTCAAACTTTTTCACCTATATACTTATCATCTACCTCTCTTGAATCATTCCCATCATGCATCTGCTTTATTATTGAAGAGTGGCTCCTTTCATTTAATTTGCTGAAACCCCGTTCTGGATTTTTAGTTGATTGATTAATTTTCTGTTTCACGTATGCAAATGAATGGAGACTATATGTGTACTTAAGTTATTGAGCCTTCATATGGTTTTTATCACTCATGTATAAAATTCTCAATAATCTGAATCATTTGAGTAGAATAACTTCTGATTCATGACCCTAAGACAAAAAGACTAGATTGAGGACAAGGTTCTCAAAGCCGTACGTGCACATCGCTTGGTTCATATGGTTGTAGACAAGAAGTTGAAATAACAAGCATCTACTTTCTATCTTCAGATGCTCAGATTTTTATTTCTATGTTTTGATTGCGAAGAAAGTAAAAAAAAAAATTGTATATGAAGTTTGATTTTTTTTTTTTTAAAAATTGTTAAAACTATAAGTAAAAGATTTAAGAGATTCAATTTTAAATTTAAGCCATTTTCAAAAAGATTTTAGAATATAACTTGGGTTGTAAGTTATTTCGATAATAAATAACCATATCGATATGTTGAGTGGGTGCGTTGAAGCTTTAAAGTATTTACTAAAAATGAAAAGAAAAAAAGGTCAATAAAAAAGCATACAGTTGATTAAGGATTTGATTCATATTTTATAAGAATTTGAGTTAGATTCTCGTTAACTGATGTGAGAGCCTCATTGATATATAGTGTGATTTGCAATCCCTTTTAGAAATCTTTAAAAAAGTTGGGATCTACCCTAACCAGCGTCAAATTTCATGTAAACTTTCAGAGCCTCTTTGGAGCACCTGAACATAGAATAAGATAACTTATCATAGTATTTTCAAAAAAAAAAAAAAGATAACTTATCATATCCTACTTTTATCTCTTGTTTGGTGGGTCAATAACATATGATTAGCTTATCCTATTGTCTCATTTTATTCTATCCAATATATGATTTCTTATCCTATGAGGGAAGCTGGGTTAGGATTCAACATGATAGAATATCAATATTGGATACCCAATATATCCTCATGCTACCCAATATATTCCAACTCTACCCAATATATTTGTATTTATTGCATTGTATTTTGTTTTTTATTTCTCCTTCTATATAATCTTATCATGCTAATGCTCATCAAACACAGGACATGATATAGATTTATCAGCCTCATATCATATCCTACCATTATTAGCCTCATATCATATCCTACTCTTATCCTATCATGTTCACCAAACGAGCCTTTTACTCCAAAAACTATAAAAGGATAATTATTATGGTCAATTCCCTTGAACTCGATACTAGATAGGTCAAGAACAGTATGACCATGAAAAGCGGTGGAGGCCCACAGACCACTACCCACAAATAGATACTCTCCAAAGAGCATTATGTTATGATAAATGATATCAACCACACAAAGCCTAAGGGTCCCTATTACTAAAAACGTTACTATTAGTAGTGATTCTCCTTTTTAAGATGCTGACCCTTGTTTTTTGTTTTTTGATATATGCTGACCCTTGTTTAAATCAGAGTATGTATTGGGTTTAAAAGGTTGAAAATATATGTGGTTACTGAAGATGGACCACTGCATGAAGCTTTCATGGCATATATATCGTGCTTCTCCGCAGTGGCCGACCTTATATCCTCTACCACAAAACTAGTAATGTCTCTTGAGAATAATCAAATTATTCAGGACCCACACCTTCCACTAGTTTTGCATATCCCCCTGCAGTATAGTGGCATTATTCATTGAATTCACAATATTGATCCCTTTAATTGAACAAATTTCAACGGATGATTAAATGTGAGTTTCTTAGAGTCTTGTAATATATAATTCTTTTTAAAGTGTAGTACAGTTTAGCTAAAATGTTGAATATTATTTGTTGGATTTATTTAATAGCATTCTTTGTTAAGATTGTTTTTTTTTTAAAAAAAAAAAACTGCTTTAACGCACACTAACTAGAATCATTGTGAGAATTCATTTTAAAAGTTATCTAACTTGAGTTACTCTCAATTATTGAGAGTCACTTTATTTTAATATCTCTAAATTCTAAAGCAAACCTACTCTAAACAGATTATCTATTATCTTTTGTATGAAATCATTTTATATTACCGCACCAAAACTCAACTGATCTTGTGACAATTTGAACGAGGGTTAGATGTAAATAATTGGTTAATCCTAGAACAAAAATGAAATTATGATTGTAAGGACTTGGATCATCTAAGATTATGAGTTCACTTTAGGGGGAAAATTGAGATATTATAGTTTTTAATTAAAAAATAAATTTTAGTAACTTCATAATTTATTATAGGGATTAATATTTCTCATGTTGTAGGAGATAATTTTATCTCCTAAACACACATAAAAATGTGTGGGGCTCATTTTTTTCTCTTCTCCTCATTTGTGCCCACAACTGACTTTTATATGTGTGTAGTATCTCTCACAATATAAAAAAAACGTTAATCCCTTTATTATATGAGTCTAATCCGTGAGATGTACATATTTTCTATAAAATCGATGCATTTTTTCCAGTGTTATAAAAATTGACTTGACCTGGCCGGTTTGACCTGTTAACCCATAAACCAAACCTCCAACCGGTCTGGTTCAGGTATTGAACCAGTTATACATTTGACCCAGTATAAAACTTGTGAACAGATGCGCAAAAAAAGAATTGGTTTTGTGAAATTTAGGATAAAATGTTTGAAAAATATCACTTATACGATTCGAACTTAGACTATATGAATTATAACTTATAGCACTTACCACTAAAATAACTCTAATTATTAACTAAAATATTTTTAATTTTATATTTATTATATATATTTTATTCATGCAACTGACCAATGATCAACGTTAAATCAGCGAGTCATTGACCATTAGTCGATGATAGGTTATAACACCAATTTTTTTCCTTTTGTTTTTTTTTTTTTGGTAATCTTTTCTTTTTGTTTCTATTTGAGACTGAGTTAACCCAATATTCTGTGTCAAAGTACTCAAAAAGAATGGAATTGTACCTGTTTGCTGTCTTGTCCAATTGGCACTTCGAAGAACAATATAAGGGACTAATGGTTCAAGTTTCTTGTTCCCTTTCAAGTAGTTCGACCTCCGTGGTCCTTTGAAATCTGAATAATATCTTCCATATGTACGAGTGAATATTTAGTGATCCCGTGTGCCGGGAAGTGAGGGTGAGAGAGAAGAGAGAAAAGAAAAAAGAAAAAAGAAGATAGAGAGAGAAATAAGGAGACCATTCAATATTTTTTCCATATCTACGCAAAAGAAAATATATTAAAATCATTTCCAATTTTCTATATCAAAAAGTTAATATCATTGCTTGAACTTATATTTTTCAATGGAAATTATTTGTCCTTTTAAATGATATAACTTATGTCATTTTACTTTCACAAAGAGGTGAGACTCATACTTTTATTTTTTTTGTTCACTCTCTTCTTATGATCTATCTCTTTCTCTCACTTAAAATAATATAATTTTACATTCTTTAAAATGATACACACTTTTCTCATTGTTAAATTACACGAAGCTAACAAATCATTGGAAAATTTGTCTGTATTCATCACAAACTATATAGTAGGAGATCTAAATTTGTTTTTCCCTTTTTCCTTACTAGCTTAATGGAATTTGTGTAGCTCCCGGCTCAGTTGAAGAATTGAGTAATGAATATTATATCTTTTAGAAGTCAACTCTTTAAGATATGCTTCTAAAAATAATTTTGATCATAGTTCATAATTTTGAAACAAGTTGTTTCTTTTTTTCATTAAGTCATTAACCATAAGATCTTCATTTGATCCTTTTCAGCAATTGAGTTCAGCGAGAGGTTGAGCTACTTTGGAATAGCAACCAGCTTGGTCCTTTACCTCACAAAGGTTATGCATCAAGACCTCAAGACAGCAGCAAGGAATGTGAATTACTGGTCTGGTGTCACCACTTTGATGCCACTATTAGGTGGATTCATTGCTGATGCATACGTGGGCCGTTACTCCACTGTGTTCGCATCATCCATTGTTTATATCATGGTAAGATCAATTATAAGCAATTACAAGTCCATTAAAACTTTTAGTAATACACATTATCATCATTAGTTGGGTTTATGGTTTCTTGATGAATTACCTCCTGCAACTCAAAAAGATATTGTCTTGGGGTTTAAAAAAAGGTTTAAGTTTTCTTATGTTGTAGGATTGTAGGAGATAAAAAAAGTAGAGAGAAGTTAAATGTGGGTCCCATATTTTATATTAAAAAAAAAAGAAAAATTAATTGGCACGGAAAACGAATTAGTGTAGGAAAATGATGTATTCTTATGTAGCATAAGAGTATTATTTCCCTTAAAAAAAGGGTTAAAGTTTCTCATGTTTTAGGAAATAATTTTATTTCCTATATACACATGAAAATATAGAGGGTCATGTGAGAAAAAAAAAAAATATGAATCTCACACACTTTTATATATGAATAAAAGATAAATTAAATCTTCCATAACAAAAGAAACATTAATCACTTGAAAAAAAAATAATAAAACGCTTTTTAAAAAATTCATATTGCACGATAGAAGCAAAATAGTTTGCCAAAAAAAGTGCATGGAAAGCATGTGTCATGCTCTGCAAGACGCGCATGGGAAACATGTGTGACTTGAATGCATGCATGAAGGTGATGTGTGTCTTATAGTGTGTGACACAAGACAGGCCTTTGTAGAAGTCGCGCATGGGGTGATGCGTAATTTGAACATGCATTGCAGCATTATATTGGTAAATATTTTGTCAAAAAACTTAAACCTATAAATACTTATCAAATCCACAGTAGAAATGTCAATAAGCCACAAACTTAATTTTGAGGAACAAGAGATAACTTTATGGGTAATACTTTTCTTATGTTACAAAAGAAAAGTATTATATCTTACGCTCACATTTTTTAAATAGATCTTATAAGAATTTTTTTCTCTCACCTCCAACTCTTTTCTCTTTCCTATTTATTGTTTGAGTAGGAGATAATAATTTTCTTATGCAACGTAAGAAAAGTATTACTTTATTTAGAATTCTTTTTCCATTATTAATTTACCTTTTATTCTATAAATTTTTAACTAAATAAACTTTGTTCCTGTGGAAAAAAAAACACAGGGTTTGGTTCTCCTAACTCTGTCATGGTTCTTACCGAGCTTAAAGCCATGTGATCATGCTAATATATGCACCGAACCAAGGAGAATTCATGAAGTGGTTTTCTTCCTTGCCATCTACTTAATATCTATAGGAACTGGAGGGCACAAACCCTCCTTGGAGAGCTTTGGAGCTGATCAATTTGATGAGGATCATGTTGAAGAAAGGAGGCAAAAAATGTCCTTCTTCAATTGGTGGAGTTGTGCCCTCTGCAGTGGACTTATTCTGGGAGTGACCCTCATTGTTTACATACAAGACAATATAAATTGGGGTGTTGCTGATATTATCTTTACAGGGGTTATGGCTTTCTCATTGCTCATTTTCATACTAGGAAGGCCATTTTATCGTTATAGGATACCAACTGGGAGTCCCTTGACTCCAATGCTGCAGGTTCTTGTTGCTGCCATTTCCAAAAGAAAGCTTCCATACCCTTCTAATCCTGCTCTATTATATGAGGTTCCCAAGTCTCAATGCAGCAATGGAAGATTTCTGAATCACACTAAAAAACTCAAGTAAGTAGTGTCACTTAGTCATTACAATTTGAAAGAAATTAAGCTTGACTTATATGTTAAAAATATAATTCATTATTGGCATTGTTTTTAGATTTCTTGACAAGGCAGCGATTATTGAAAATGATGGAAATTCAGCTGAGAAGAAGAGTCCTTGGAATCTAGCAACCGTGACTAAGGTTGAAGAAATGAAGCTTATAATTAATATGATCCCCATTTGGGTGTTTACTATACCATTTGGAATATGTGTGGCACAAACATCTACATTCTTCATCAAACAAGGTACTACGATGAATAGAAACATAGGTAAAGGGTTTGAGATTCCTCCAGCTTCAATTTTCACTGTTGCTGCCTTTGGGATGATAATTTCTGTGATCATTTATGACAAAATTCTAGTACCCTTGTTAAGAAAGTTAACTGAAAATGAGAGAGGAATCAACATCCTGCAGAGGATTGGTTTTGGAATGCTTTTCTCTATTAGTACAATGATAGTTGCAGCTCTTATAGAGAAAAAGAGGCTTCAAGCTATTGAGAGGGATCCATTGAAGGGTTCATTATCAATGAGTGTCTTTTGGTTGGCTCCACAGTTTCTAATTATTGGTTTTGGAGATGGGTTTACTCTTGTGGGTTTGCAAGAATATTTCTATGATCAAGTTCCAGACTCCATGAGAAGCTTAGGGATAGCATTTTACCTAAGTGTGATTGGGGCAGCAAATTTCCTCAGTAGTATGCTGATAACAATTGTTGATCACATAACAGAGAAGAATGGGAAGAGTTGGTTTGGAAAGGATTTGAATAGTAGTCGCTTGGACAATTTTTATTGGCTATTGGCAGCTATAACCACAGTGAACTTGTTCTTGTTTGTGTTCTTTGCTCGTAGATATTCCTACAAAACTGTGCAAAAGATTGCAGTGGCTGATTGCTACGAAGGAAAAAGTGATTTTGGTGGTGTGGAAACTAAGGTTTGAGCTCATTAGTTCAGTATTAAATACTAATGTCATTTAAAAAAAAAAGGGAAATGTTCCATGTAGGACTAAAATATTTTATCATTGTACTAAAAAAAAAAAAGTATTTTATCAAATCCCTTTCTGCTGGCAACTTGTGTTTATGCTGCGAACAATTCTATATTTTTCTCCCATCAAATTATTGATAATGTCTTATTTATTTTACTTTATTTTATTTTGCATAGAGGCATGCCAGAGATTTATTATGACCTTTTTTTTAGTAGTTTAAATTTTTATAAAAATTGGTTACCTTATATAATATTATAGTCTTTGTGATTTCGTCACACTATTTTTTATAAAAAATAAAAAGTGAATTAAAATTATTACAGGGCAGATAAACCAAAAAAAAAACTTGTGCATCATTTACACTTGAAATCAGGACTCTTACGTGAAATAATATATTAAGAATACGGGAAAGGTTATAGTTACAACTTATTTTTATTTACAATTTCTTATAATCATATCTTAACTGTTGATTTCCGTTAATCAACAGTTAAGATTTTCGCAAATCAAATTTATTAATTAATTATTAATTCGTAATAAATGATAATCGTTGATTAGCGAAAATCAACGGTTAAGATATAATTGTAAAAAATTATAAACAAAAATAGGTTGTAAGTATAACATTTCCTTAACAATATAATATAAAAAATATTAATGTTTTTATTTTAGACTTAAATCTTTGAAAAAATTGATTATCTTTAGGGTGCGTTTGGTATGAGAGATATTTTTTACCGAGAAAAAAAGTTACAGAGAATATGGCGGAATTTTTTTTTTATTTTGAAAAAGTTATAAAAAGTTGTTTGGTAGGCCAATATTTTTGCCAAAAAAATTGAGTTATTATATTAATGCTATGTTTGGTTGGTTGTGAAATATATGTAAAAAAGTGGAATAAAATTATAAAAGTACCCATCCTGTTCGAAAATTTGTTAAACCATTTCTTTTATAATAGGGTTGTGTGGGTCCAAGATTTTTAAATGTACTTCTTATAGGGTAAGCCAAGATTCTTGGTTCTTAGATAAAAAAAATATCTCCTTTTGAATTGCATTTATTTTTGTCAAAGTCTAATTGAAAAAGTTATCCATGAAAAATATTTTATATCGATATTTTTTAACTTATCTTATATCAAACATGCTAAATCTATTTTTCTCACATCACTTTTCTAAAAAATTATCAAAATCTTTTTACCAAACATTTCCTTGAAGCCACATGAGTATCGTACTTAGATTAAGATGTTTTAACAGTAAAAAGGCCGTGAACGTACAACCACACACACAGGTGTCGGTAAAAATTGCAAACTTGCGTTTGACCAAAACTTTGGGAACCTCACTGCTCTCTCCCTACTGTGAAACACTCTGTGTTTTTGGAGAACAACAGGATGAAACACTGTGTTTCATGTCAACAATCAAAATCTCCTTTTCATTCGAAAACGACGCAGCACTTTACTCTCTTACTCTGGTCTCCAATCTCCACTGTTACTGTCTACTTAAGCAAAATATTTAACATGCACAGTGAAGTTAATTACTGTGTAGATTACTCACTTGTGGAACTTACTCTTATCATTGTTATATGCGCACTGACATGTCATGCACATCACTTTACCATAAAACTTCACCTGAAAATAGCCTTTTCCCAAGCCTCTGCACTATACTGTACATGTACTGTTGTACATAGTAGAACCACTGCTTACGTCAGAAAAAGTTATACGAAAAGAAGAAATATTATAACAATGTGCATTTATTTCAACTGTGCTTATTTATTTTATTTTATTTTTTATATACAGAACTTATATAAGTTTAACTTATATACGAGGAGAATTATCTTATTTTTAAAATAATAATTAAAAATAAATATAAGACTTATACCGATATAAATTAGAGAAATACTTATGTTATGTAACATGATAAGAAACTAATTTCCTACACTAACAAACTTTGGTGGGACCTATTGTGAAAAAAAAAACAAAAAACAAAAAAAATATTAGCACAATAATTCATGTTAGTGTAGGAAATTGGTTTCCTATCATGTTACATAATATAAGTATTTCCCTATAAATTAATATATATAAAATTATAAGATAGTGATTGAATAGCTCCGAGAAGCTCTCTGTGCCAATCAAGCGTTAATTTAAGGCATAATAGGTGTTCCAGATCAGCGACGGATCCAAAAAAAAAAATTATATTCGTACATTTAGTGGTGGAAATTCGGGGGCAGGGCCCCGAATTTTTTTTTTTTGTAAAGAAAGTTTAAATCAATGCTTAAACCCGCTCATAATCTAGTTGCTTTCATAACAAGCTGCAGGCAATAGTTTGACCAATTATTCTCCCCTCTAAATCTTACCAATCATCCAAAACAAATATGAGAATATACTCCAGTACATCTATACATCATCATTCTATTTTATAATGGTGAATAAAAAAGTCAACATTACTTGTACAGAAGGCAAGCAAAATCACAGTGAAGGTCTCGTCTCTAGATATTAACTTATTTCAGAATGTCAGACCTGCAATCAATTATTCCTCTTTTTTTATAAAAATGAAAAAAGAAACAAAAGATGAAGAGAGTATGGGAATGGATACGTGACAGGGGAGGAAGAATAAGTTTTCTCTCTAATCAATTTGCATTGCTACGTTATTTTAATCATCTCCGTACGTTGCTACGTTACTAACTAATATAAGAATAAATATCTTTTTTCGTCCCTAACAAAAAATTAGGTCCCCACTTTAGGCCATTATAAAAAAAATTAGTCACATGGTCCCTATGAAATTCAAAGTGAACCAATTTTGGTCTTTTTGAGGGACTAATGTAGGTCTTTTTAGAATTTATGAGGGACCACAATTTTAACTAAATTGATTCACTTTAAATTTTGTAGGGACCTCGAGACTAATTTTTTTTGTAAGGGATTAAAATGGGGATCATGTTTTTTGCTAGGGACTTAAAAGGATATTTACTCCTAATATATATATTGAACCAACAGACAAATAAGGACCTCCAACAAAGAAAAAGGAAAAAAAACTGAAATAAAATTTTTTATGTCCGCACTTGCGGCATTTGCCCGCAAGTGGGTCTGCCACTGTTCCAGATTATAGTTCGCCATGATTATTTTTATCTTAAAATAAATATGAGAATTAATTTAATCTTACTCAGTCTCAATTTGAAAATTGAACCTGATTATCTAAAAAACTTGGTATAGATTAAGAGTTACTTCAACCGCCAACTTGAGTAGTTAGTTTTGTAGTTATATATTTATTATCAGTAGGGAGGGCTTTTCATTCATAAATATATTATTACCCGTTTTCACTTCTAAATGAAAGAATTTTATCAAATTAAGATTTATATTGCGACATGTAGAATGCGAAGACCCAGCTCTGAAAAAGATTATTCAATCAAATTATGGTTAAGGCAGATTATTTAATTAAATTTTTAGGGATCTCTTTTGATTTTGAGAATGACAAATTATATTATGATTTATTGATATTGTTGTTGTTGGGTTTATGCTATTTCACCTAAAGACCAATTGAGCTCAGTGTGTAAAAAGAGTTCAAGAAAGCCTAGAGCCCAAGCACACTGAGACTATGATACGAATAAGGGAAGTAGAATGAGAAGTGCTCTCTCATGGAGCAAGGATTTTGTTACCATGTAATAGAGTTACATTAGTTCACTTTACTTGTATTGAATTAAAGCATTGAGTTACTGATATTGTTATGAAAGGTAATTAGTTAGTCATGCTTAGGGTGAGGTGGCAAGTTAGTTAGCATTAGGTGGCTAACAACATTGTTAGCAAGTGGCTGTATATAAGGAAGACACATGGCCCATATATGGCATCATCTTGAATAATAACCGAATTTCTCTTTCTGTTCTTCGTGTTTCTTCCTCAAGGGTGTTGCACTCTTAACATTGGTGTTTTCATCTCCTTGAATCTCAGGTTGCAACATGCGGCTTCAAGAGGTGGCGGAGGAACTAGGTTCCTTCCAACAGCGTGTAGATCAAACTTTAGATGAGATTCAGCAAAGGTTCGCTGATCATCAAAATCAGTTCTTGTCCATAAACACTCAGTTACAGCAAATACATGCAGTCATAGTCGAAGGGGAGAATCGAACGGAGGAGCAAGTACAATCGCGAGTTCAGCTAGGTTCTTCGAGCAATGACAATGCTGGAGTAGTGCATGCAAGGTACGATCTGAGTGACCCACGGAACATTATGAAGTCAATCAAAATGGAATTACCCTCATTTATGGGTACAGACCCAGTTGGATGGATTTTCGAACAGAGCTGTACTTTGGATTGCAGCAAATACCAGAGTCCTTGAAGGTTCGATTAGCAGGAATGAAGATGGAAGGAATGGCAGGGCTATGGTTTCAATGGTTATTCAATGGAGGCACCATCCATTAGTGGGAGGAATTGAAGAATGCTGTGAAACAACGATTTGGTGGAACAACTTATACTGATTTGCGTGGAGTTTTCTCCAAGCTATCTCAAGTGGGAGCTTTTAATGAGTATATTCGAGACTTTGAAGCCCTGATCAATCAAGTGTCAGATTTCTCAGATGAGGTATTGATGAGTGTTTTTGTTTATGGTTTATAACCAGATTTAAAAAGAACAATTCAACTTCATAGACCAACCTCTCTTCATCAAGCTATGCAATTATCCATCATATACAAGGCTCATTTTGCTGAGCTAAGAGGTTCCTTCACTTCTTACAATAATAAGAAGTATTTTCCGAAACCAGTTTCAATTGTTGAACAACACAACTCTTCTACTAACCCAGTGAAACCAGGGTTGCCCAACTTGTTAGGAATGTGGCTTCTATACTCAAGAGGGGGGTGAATTGAGTATTACAAGATTTTTGCAAAAGCCCCCTTCTAGTTTCTAAGAAATCATTTCAAGTAAACTTTGATATGTGAAAAGTTAATCAATACATTCAGACAATTCATAATATATAATATGTCACAATTATAGAATTTATACTAGCACATACAAGATATCAAAGAAGCAATTAAAGTGCTAGAAATAAAGAGTTTAGAGTTTAGAGCATTGCAACTTGTGACCTACGTCCAGACTGAAGCCGCTCGATCAACTCTTTCACTGGTCAAGCTTC